TCACTACGTTTACGCGAGCCTTAAAAGTTGTTTTAAGGCTCTTAAAATCGATTTTAAGATCGCGTAAACACCCTAAATTGAATTTCGCTTAAAAGCACTTTTAGCTTACTAAATGTAGTTTAACATCACTTTTAGTAAGAAATGTCACTTTTAATCTTTGCGTAAACACCTTAAAAGCAGTTTAAGGTTTGAATTGTCAGCTGTTAACAGTAAATAGGTACAAATAATTTGAATTTTATTACAAATAACACTAACCAAATAACTAAAAATATGAAGAAAAAGGAAATGAAAAGAAAAAATTGGATGAAAGAGGAAAAAGAATGTTTAATTAAAATATTTGCAGAAAAACAAATAATTAAATTGTTAGACGGCAAAAAATATAGAAAAAGCCTAATTGCATCCCAGAATCTAAATTAATTAAACTTGTTTATTTTTTATTCTCTATTTGAAAATCTTAACTTTACCGTAATGATGACTATATATTTAAAACATTTTAGTTTAGTTTAAGTTAAGTTTATTATTTTCAATTATTTAAATTTGTCATTAAGCACAAATTGTTATAAATATATTATATTATATATATTATATTGTTATTATAAAAAAAAATAAAAAAAATTATAAATTAATTAATTTAAAATTGGTTTTTTCTACATTATTTTTTTAATTGCTTCTATGTAGAAGTGGAAATTTTCTCGCCAAGTACGCTCATATATGATCTCGCATAAGTTGTCCGGACGACAAATTTTGTCGATTGTACATATGTTCAGGTTGGGAATATTCAACCCTTCAACGAAAGTATTTTCTGCTGGTGCCATTTTATCCTTAAATAAATCTACAAGCCTGAAAAATATTTGTCGATTCACTCTAAAATTAACAATCCATTGTTCATCGTCATAGAACTACAGAACTTCAACATCCCACCATTCCGAACTTCTCTTCCTTTTGCTAAAAGTTCTTATTCGTGGTGGAAGCTAAAAACAAAAATGCATTCTAAATATTTTATGAAAAACTTTATAAAAACATTTACATACATTCATTAAAGCCTCATTAGCGGAACTTATTGCCATTTTATTAAAGAGCTGCAATCGCATTTCTCGTAATTTTGTAAATTTTTTACGAGATGTTTTAAAAATCTGCATTGTTGCTTCATTATTATTTTCTACAATTTTGGTTATATTTCTTTTTGCAATAAAAGTAAAACAATTTGTAGTTTTACTCTATTCATTTTAAAAATGTTTAAAATCAACATTTCTGTTTACTGTTAAACAGCTGATTGATTGACAGCTACCTTAAAAGTGCTTTTAATTTTTGTGCGTAAACGCTCTAAGAACAAATTTTAAAATCAGTTTTAAAAGTAATTTTAAGACTCGCGTAAACGTAGTGAATGTGAAATAATTTATTTATATTTTAAATTAATGCTTAAATTCTACCTTAACAGAGAAATTGTGGAAATATGTGGTTAATCCAAAAAAAGAACGTAATATTTTTTATCAATGCTTTTTATCATTTATTCAAATTTATATTCAACTTATTAAAGACTTATTTTTATAAAAATTTCTATGATATACAACTTTACTTAATTGTCTATTGTCCGACTTTATTTTTGATATTTTTATTGTTTTCATGCAAGAAACTCTTGCTCAACTTTACTTTTTCTTCTATCCTTATCTTTTTCTTTTGTTCTTATCTTTTTCTTTTCTAGTCTTTGCTTTCTTTTCATTACCTTATCTATTCTACTACTCTACTTTACCTGCATATATATATATAAATATATATTTAATCTAATTTAATTGACAGGAGTGATAACAAAAAACGCCATTCACCGTGGACGGTTGAGAAGTAGAGTGTGTTGTTAGAGCATCATAAGTCAATACGGTGGTCCATTTCATATGTTCACAGAAAGAAAGTCAGAACATTCTGGAATAATGGCGACATTTATTGGTGTTAAAATTAATAATAAATTGAATCAATTCTAATATTGTATTTTTATTGGCTTTATCATACTTCATTGTACTTATGTCGACGTTACAATATCAATGAGCAAAAAAAGAAGACAGTTTCCAGCGTAACAGAATGTAAGAATATTGCGAAGAACATTTCAAGAATGTACTAGGTCATTTCCACCAGCTACTTATAGTAAAACTCGAGTAAAACACAAGTAAAGTACAAACTAAAAGTGTAATACAAATAAAGTGCCAAATTATGCTCTTTACACAGATTTTCATGGAACAGCTTTGTGTGAAATCTAATAAGAACAGCTGTTTTTTGAAAAAGAAAACAGTAGAAGTAAAAGTTGAAAAATAACAAGTAAAATATATTTTATTTTAACAAAGTGAGTTGGAGTGCTTTTGTTACAAAAATTTATTATAAATTTTATTTTATGTTATTAACATATTACAGACGATATGGAGGGAAATGGAAGAAAAATTGTTTCGTGTTTACCAAAAACGTCTCTGCAATGGCAAAACGGAAAGAAATTGTATTTACATATTGCAAATTGCAATTATTTAACGAATTATATGATGAATTAGTATTCAGTGTCCAGGAAAATATAGAAGCACATACACATACACATGGACACACAATTCCACCAAAGACTTGTTATCTTTAATATCCATGAGCATAAAAATGGTTGGAAAATACCGTAAGTTGAGGAGTAAAGCCTTGATATGGAAATTTATTTTCACATGAATGAGCGAAGTAGGCTACTCCTTTAATCCAACTCAAGTATATTACTATTACAAACATAAAGTTTAAATTATAGATCATTTAATTACATTGTTCGTAGGTGAAATCGAAATTCAGAACTATGGAGCGGCAATACAAAAAATCTAAGTTAAGCAACAGCCAAACTGCAAGAAATCGAATGGTTTCCTCTTACCAAAGGTAAAAGCACATTATTAAAAGCTTGTATGAATTAATTATGTTTTTTTTAATTAAACATAATCTTACCAAAAACAGGCAGGAGGTTCTAGATATCACCGTGACTACTGCACAAAATTCATGGGTCTATCAAAAAATGGAAAATGTCCACTAGGCACTCTTTTTTAGACTTTATGATTTTAGAATCTTCTTATAGTCTTAACATAAAGGTATCAAATATCCCCAGTTTAGAAACTTTCAGAAATATCAAGAATACAAACTGGTCAAAGTACGAATCATCTGTAAATGAGCTGTTGACAAATACAGCTCTTTACCCCCAGAGAATATAAATGATCTGGATAAGCAGGTGTGAGATCTTACCTCAATACTTAATGAAGCTTTTAACCTTGCCTGTCCTTCTACTCGATCTAGTAGGTAGTGTAACCCACCTTGGTGGAATAGAAGCTTAGAACACTTGAGGAAAGAATGCAGGAGAATTTTTAATAGGGCACTGAGACTGACTGATCCGAATACAACATCTCTCTGCAGAAAAGAATTACATAAGTCTAAGAGGACTAGTTGGCAATCATATTGTCAAGAGATTAGCAGAGATTTTGAAACCTCTACACTACGCAAAATCTTATCTAAAAATCCACTGTTTATCTAAGGAAACCGGAAGGAACCTGGTCAAACCCTCAGAATGTTTAAACTACATATCGGTAAACTCCAAGTTAAACCTACAAACTCTGAAATGGGCAATTTTTAGCTTTAGGCCCTACAAATCACCGGGACCGGATGGTATACATCCTATTGAGCTTTAGAAGTCTTGTGAACAAATACACAACCGGCTTCTGGCCATTTTTAAATACTGTCTCATTTTTAATCATGTTCCAACTCACTGAAGAATGGTTAGATTTGTTTCTATCTCTAAGGCGGGTAAAACCTCTCATAGTAACCCAAATGAACTCCGTCCAATTAGCCTTTCATCTTTCATGCTGAAAGCTCTAGAAAGAATTATAGACTATAAATCCCAATCTTTGGTCTCCGACACAAAACGCCTACACTAAGGGTAAATCTACGAAGACAGCACTCCATGCCCTCACTTTTACTACTAAAAAATTTTTCAACTTTAAGGAGCTTTTAACGAAATTTTTCCCGGTGTAATAGCAAGCGCACTCTCTCGTCCGGGTGATGAGGATGCTTTCATCAGCTTTATCGGCCAGTTATTAACTGGCAGAAAAATTGAAGCATAAAGGGGTGTATCAGCAGCACACAGACGGGAAAATAGAGGTACCCCCAAGGAGGCGTACTCTCTCGCCTCTTGAATATAGTGGTGAATGAACTGCTGAGGAGAGCGGGCTACGGGACAGTTGCATATGCGGATGAAATTGCGTTAACAGTTACTGAGAAATATGCTACCACTTTAAGGGATATTTTGCGATATGGCCAATATATGCTTAACAATTGGACACGGAATTGTGGTCTCGGGGTTAACCCCAGAAAAACAGAAATTGTAGTATTTACCAGAAAATATAGGGTTCCAAATCTTTCTACACTCCATATTAAGAATTCTGCGATACAATTTACTGAGAAAGCAAAATTTGTAGGCATTGTTTTCGAGCTGGAAAGAAAATATTTCAAAGCGAGCTAGGAAAGCAAACATTGGACTGCTCCTTTTCAAAAAGCTATTGGTAAAAAATGGGGATTACAACTATGTATCGCTCAGTCTCTATACATGGTTGTCATTAAACCAATACTTCTGTATGGCATAGCCATATGGTGGACAGCTCTTGATAAATCTTCGTACTGTAGTGTACTTATAGGGTTCAGCGTAGGGCTGAACTCTATATTAGTGGTGCTCTGTGTACAATGCCATCTGTCATCAGATCTAATGCTTCACTTAATGACACTTGGCATCTTCAGTAAGCAGTTGGCAGCATCATCTGCCCTAAGACTACAGGCTACATCACAATGGAGTGCTAGTGAGCATGGGCACGACTCCATTCTAAAACTTTTCAGGGAATTTGGTGAAAACTGCTAGCCATATCCAGACACATGAAGTACTTTACACTTCGGACCCTTGCTATCTGGTCAGACACAAGCGGCAGAGGGAACTTGTCTGAAACGGTATTCGCATTTAATTCGCGACAATCAACGCAAAGGCGATCGGACCCATTATTCTTCTTTACTAACAACATTGTACTGGCATGTGAAGAACAACTAGGTATAACAATGTTACTTTCTATTAATTCTTTTATTTTGTCACGAACTACATCTCTCTCAACTGGGCTGAGTCTATATCGACGCCTTTGAACAGTTTTATTCGAGTCAACTAAATAAATTTTCAATTCGTCAGTGGAAACGCGTGTTCGTGGAATTCGTTCGATAAATACCTGGGAATATTTTTGTAACAAAGTAATTAATTCATCTTTTCATCATCACCAACTAGTTCAGTATTAACATCAAAAATTTTCACGCAATGTTCAGTAATAGAACATACATTAACCGCCTTAGTTTTCCCGATTTCAAATTTATCTGAATCAATAACAACATTCAAACCCTGACTCAAAATCTTACGTCGAAAGTCTATATCATTTCGATAATTTAGATAACCATCAAGTACCATATAAAATAATATTTCTACACAATTTTCATTTAGTAGTAATAGTAGTATTCTTTTTATTATTATATATAGGTTATATTTACATTTACAAAATAAACTTTATACATTTTCAATAATCTATATACATAAAAGAAAGTCGTGTTAGTTAGACCACTTATAACTCAAGAACGGCTGGACCGATTTTAATTATCTTTGATTTGTTAGAATCATCTCCGCTTCGAATAGCAGAATACATTATAAAATATTGGAAAAATCCACTAATTTTAGCAAAAATAATAAATTTGTAAATGCTGTTTCAAACTGTTGACAGTTCGACAGTTTGAGTGATATTGATTTCTTTTCAAAAGTTTTTCTACTTCCTCATATTGAAGCACTCCCGTAGAGTTGAAATGTTGTTTTGAACGATACGTCTTTATTTTTAAATATATTTTTCCAAAAGTAGTTAATAGCTTTTTTCTCTCAATTTTTCAGTTAAATGTCTATTAAATGTAGCATTATAATACATCCATGTTCCAAGATACTTATATTCCTTAACTATTTCTACATTTTCTCCTCCTAATGTCCATATTTCTTCATTTGTATATCGCCTGTGATGCTTTTTGAATTCTAGCGCTTTTGACTTCTCAATATTAACTATTAGTCCCTATAGCTTACAGTAACTCCGTAGCTCGTTTATCATAATTTGTAAACAATCGGGAGTTTCTGCTAGGAGAACGATGTCATCTGCATACAAAAGTGCTTTAATATTTACACCATTTATAAATGCGCCTCCAGATAGATGTGTAACTATGTCGTCTATATAAAGTGAGAACAGAATCGGACTGAGTACGCAACCTTGTTTAACTCTTGAATCAGTAGCAAACTATTCTGACAAGTGTTCCCCATCCCATACAGCTGCACGATTTTCGTTATATAAACTGGTTAGAATTTTGATAAATTTGGTTGACATGCCAATACTACAAAGTTTATAAAATAAAACGTTTCTGTTCACTGAGTCAAACGCTGCTTTAAAGTCGACGAAGAATGCATATAGCTTTTTTCCTTTTTCCGTATACTGCTTGGCTATACTTGTAAGACAAAAAATATTATCAATTGTTGAGTATCCTTTCCTAAATCCTGCCTGGTATTCACTGAGTAAATTATATTCTGTAACCCAAGCCTTTAGCCTTTCAAGAAGGATTCCTGTGAATAATTTGACAGTGGAGTTTAAAAACGAAATGCCTCTATAATTATTCGCAATCTGCGGGTTTACTTTTTTAAAGAGCGGATAAATGATAGCTGTTTTAAAGTCTTTAGGAGCTGTTCCGACATCTAATATTTTGTTAAAAGCCAATACTAACTTTGCGATAAAATTTGAAGATGCATTTTTGTAGAACTCTATGGGAATTCTGTTTTCTCCCAGCGCTTTATTTGACTTGCTGTTTCTTAAAATTTTATTAATTTCTTCTGTAGTGATTTCATTATCCAACAGATCTATTTTAATATTTGATATGGCGAAACTAAAAGCATACCCAAATTGAGCATTCAATAGCATTGAGAAGTAGATAACATGACAAATGGGTAGAATTTAACTCTGCACTTTTGGTGAACTTTTGTCTATTAAGTTTTCGCAACATGTTCCAATACGTTTTGCTATCATTAACTGATCTTAAGGAGTTAGCTAACTTCGAGTAATATACATTTTTTTACGTTTACAAAATAATTAAACCTTTTTATTTGCACTTGTATATAACTGTTGGATTTTCACTTCTTCATGCCGCTTTACAGTGTAAGGTAAATAAAATGTTCGCTTTCGTGCTGACTCACATTCTGCATCATACCATGCTTGCTTATATTTTCTTTGTAAGTGTTTTAGTTGTAAGGGTGGTGCTGCTCTTTTAATGCAATGCGATAACAATTCAATTCCACTTTTAGCTGTTAGTTGGTTGTCTTCCATTAAAAATAACTTGTGCTCTAAATTTAGCGCAAACTTATGTGTATTTCAATTTGACCATAACAGTATATAAATTTTAATTTATATACTGGCACAATGTGCAGGCTTCCGTT